GACTAAGAGAAAAATTGTAATATTTCTAAGACTACAGCCGAATCAAAATATTCAACAGTAGTCTCGAGGACTACACCCAGTGGGTGCACTCAGCGTGCCCCCACTGGTTCTACCAACTTGGTCCGATCAGTCGACCGAAAGAGACAAAAAGGTTATGATCCTAAACCATAGCTAACTGCCAGCAGTCAGCCACGGTCTCATCATGATCTAAAAAAAACAGGTTCTTCAGACCTTAGTCGACTGCCAGCAGTCGACCATGGTCTCGGGGACTACACCCAGTGGGTGCACTCAGAGTGCCCCCACTGGTTCCAAGATTCCATTCGACACGGTCCGGCCAGACCGAGTGAAAAAGTTAGAGTGAAGAAATTCAAAATACGAAGACTATAGTCGACTGCCAGCAGTCCACCATAGTCTCGGGCACTACACCCAGTGGGTGCACTCAGCGTGCCCCCACCAATCCAAAAATTCAATCGACACAACCAGTGGGTGTACAGATACAAAGATCTTCAGAAAGAAAGTCTTCAGATAGCATATCCTAACAGAACAAGCGGTGACCAACTAACCTGGACGTTGCTCTGAAGGGCTGAGCTAGCATCATAGGCCGCTTGACTGGCTTCCTGGATCGCCTTCACCTGCTCCATCATGATCCCCGCCTGGCGTATAGCCTCCTTAGCAGCACCCGCTTGGTCCTCTGGGACGTGGTGTGTGGCGAAAAGGGAAGGCGGGTCAGCAGTCGACGTCGAAGGTCGAGCACTCGTCAGCGGCACAACGAAGGACACGGAAGTCCGAGTGATGTTGCCACCCTCCTGAACCAGCGTCTCAGGCACTGATGCAACCTGAGCGGTCTTGCCAGCCCGCGCCTTTCTATTCCTCCTCGGCCTCAGTGGCGCCTTGTCGTCATCATCAGGGAGATCAATGACATGAGGAGGAGCTACAGGAAAAATCCAAAGTTAAAATTGAGAATCCAATCGACCAAAAGTGAAATTACAGAGATCGTACCAAGGTTGGATGTGGCAGCGTCTTCCATTTCCTGGTCTTCGTTCTTGGCGGAGGTCTCGGAGGTAGCAGCGCTGCAGATTTCAGAAACTAGTCGGTTAGTCAACGAGTCGACCAAGAGTCTGTCCATGCTAAACGAGAAAACACAAGTTCTGTTGTTACCCGGAGATGGTGGGAATGGTCATTCTCATCTTGGGCAAGGCCTTCGGCGGCTTTGATGACGCCGCTCGTGGATGCTTCGGCGCTTTCTCAGTCGGCGCCGGAGAAGCCGTCCGAGGACGCTTTGACGACTGCCCAACAGGCGCAGTCTCTTTGCCACACTCGTTCGCGGGGTCGTGGGTGAGCTTGGATCACCTTTCCGAATGAGGAGGATCGACTTCCTCCTCCTCCTCTTCACTGGAGTCGTCGCCATCCTCTTCCCCCTCACCATCAGATTGTCACTCCTCCTCACTTTCACCTCCACTCGCCTCTCCCTCCTCGGCTGGTTCTGTGCCCCGTTGGGCATCGAGTACATCTCAGTAGTGGCCTAGAAGACAACAAAAAAGACAAAAGTCAGTCGACTAATTTTAAGCAAACAGAATGAAGAAAGCAGGATCACAGTCAGAGATGCAGAATTGGACTTGGTCTACTTCGTATGATTGGTCGAGTGGAGGAATCCTCCTGGCTCCTCGGGGGTTGTCTTTGTTCCCTGTGATGCTCGCCAGCCACCTCTCCAGCGTGGCATCCTCGACCTCCTCCGGGTGGATCCGAGTGGTGTCCTTAGTGCCAGAATACAACCACATCGGATGGTCTCGAGCTTGAAGCGGCTGGATGCGTCGTCGGAGGAAGACCTCCAAGAGGTCCATGTCGGTCAGCCCGTCACGGATAAGCTAGACAACACGTTCGACCAGCACCTTAACTTGCGCCTTCTCTTCCGGGATCACCTTCAAAGAGGAAGGCTTCCTCACTCGGTCCATGGAAAAAGGAGGGAGTCCGATCAACTGCCCTGGCGTCGGCTGGTCTTTGCAGTAGAACCAGGTTGACTGCCATCCACGGACCGAGTCGGGTAGGATCATGGCCGGGAAAGAACTTTTCCCCCTCATTTGAACCCCAAGACCCCCACACATCTGAATCACTTGTGTTCTCTCGTCACTCGGATTGGCCTTCTTCACCGTCTGGGAGCGACAGGTGAAAATGTGCTTGAAAAGACCCTAATGAGGTCGACAACCCAGAAAATTCTCGCACAAAGACATGAAAGCAGCGAGGTACATGATGGTGTTGGGTGTGAAGTGGTGGAGTTGCGCCCAAAGAAGTTCACAAATCCCCGAAAGAAAGGGTGAGGCGGCAAAGAAAACCCACGGTCGACATGGGTGGCCAAGAGAACGCACTCACCCTCCTGAGGTTGCGGCTCAGACTCCTTCCCCGGGAGCCGCGCCGATCCATGGGGGATCAGTCCTCCATTGGCCAGGTCGTCAAGGTCTTCTTGACGAATCGTCGAGCGGATCCAGTCGCCCTGGATCCAGCCCTGCGGCAGGCCGGCCCTCGATGAAGATCCGCCCCGACTGGTCGCCCTTCCCTTCGCCTTCGCCGTCGCTTTCTTCGCCCGCTCCAGGGCCGCCGTCTTCTCTTTCACCATCGTCGCCGGCGAGACGCGCACAGGGAAACGACACTAAGACGGAAGCGAACGTGGCAGATAAGTCTGAGGAAGAGAGGAAGAAATGAGGACGCACTGTTCAAGAACCCCCGTCCGGCGCCTTATATGAGGTTACTTCCGAGTGACTGACCTGTAGGCCCGGGCGATTATGTCAAATCCCGCAACAGTCGCTCGCGCGATACATGGCGAAGAAGGTGGCGCGGAGATCGAGGCGTCCCTGCCTTATCCTATCCGATTACTGCGGCCTCCTCCGCCCCGTGCGCTTCCCGAAATTCGAATCCCGCCAAATCCGCGAGCTGCGGAGCGACTCGTCAGACGGAAGATTTCCTTCACTCTGTCGTTCGGAGTTCTCCAAGCAAAGAAATTCACTCGACGGATACAAAGAATGGATCAAGGCGACTGAAAAAGAAGTTGGCGCCGTCACCTAAGTTCATTGATCCAGAACCAGACATGCTCATAGCATGAAAAATGGGTCGGAAGAGTTCTCAACTCCTTCCCCACTCAAACCTCGATCCATTCGGGGGCTAATGATGAAGCTATGTACCTAGGGTAGGGTCATGGACCTGTCCAAACTACCGTCCCCAAGGACATCTCTAGAAGAAACCATTTGTCAATCGACTCAGAAGTATTCCACTCGACGGACTCGAAGACACTCGACCATGAAGCCAACCACTCGACAGCCAGGAGATCTAAAGTCACTCTGCACACAAACGGTCAGTCATTAAGTAGCTTTTATGGTCATCATAGCACTTTATGTGGGTGTTACCAGTAACCCCCGATCTTAATGTACTTTTACATAACTGAGGGTCGGAGGGGTCTGGCGAACTCTATATAAGCCACCCCCCTCCTCAGTGTAAAGGGTTTGCACCCCTATAACTCATACACACATAATTCAGTCGACCGCCTCCGGGCTCCGAGACGTAGGGCTGTTACTTCCTCCGAGAAGGGCCTGAACTCGTAAACCTCTTGCGTATACAACTACTCCATAGCTAGGATCTTGCCTCTCCATTCCTACCCCCTACACTATTGTCAGACTTAGAACCACGACAACCGTCTCGTTCAAACCAAGCAAGCTCGAACGAAAACGAGTTTTTGTTTCCCAAGTGGGTGGCCTCACCAGTCTAGAAATAAAGGCGTGTGGTCAGAAATACCAGGGAAAAGTGCATGAACTGTTACAAAGGGAAACTTCTGTTCCCATTCGACGCTAGCCAGTACTCGATCCAACTTTTCAAACGTCGGATTTGGCAACGCGTTAGCCCAGGTGAACTTTCTTCCCAAAAGCTCGATCTCTCTCAGATCCAAGCTTTCAATGATAGTATTAAACATGAACGACCATCTCCCGTCAAAGTTATCATTGTTCTCCTCATGCCTTCTAATGATGTTGAAATCACCCACCACCAGGATTGAAAGCTGCTCAGAGCCGCAAATCCTAACCAGATCAGCCAAGAAATCAGGTTTGAGTTCAGGTTGTGCGGCACCATATACCGCCACTAGAGCCCAATTAAACCCATCGGCCTTCGACCGCACCCTACACTTAATTGCAAAGTCTCCCATCACCACACTTCGGACTTCGAGCGAATCGCATCTAACTCCGAGTAAGATCCCACCCGATCTTCCTCTCGGTGGCAGACAATGCCAGTCAAAATCAATACCTCCTGATAAAATATTGAGAAATTGTGGCAAAAAATTATCTCTACCAGTTTTCGACAATGCGATAAAATCCAACCTATGCTCGATAGACGCTTCTGCAAGAAACCTTCTCTTAGCCAAGTCTTTCAGACCTCTGCTATTCCAAAAGATTCCTTTCATATTTCGTCATGAAATTTTTTAGCCGTACGGATCCTAACACTCCTACGCACCGCGGAATCCAGGTAGATCTTCTGCTTCCACTTGCGTTAAGGAATGTTCTGACTCTCCAGCCAGTCCTCACAACCAGGCTCAGAAGGTCTAACCACGACATTCTCAGATATATCATCCTCCTCCTCAGACTCGGGGAGCGGAGGTATAAGATCCGCACAAAAATTATCGAGCACCCTGACCCCCAAAGCATCAATATCGGAATCATTCATGGGTTTAACCGCTGCTAAGTTACGAATCATCTCTAAAGCCCGCGCTCCTCTAAATCCAGGATATCATTAACAGAATATCAGAACTCACCTATTGGATTATGGCCAGCATATCAACTAGTTCATGCAAATCTATCTTTCATAGTACTATTTTGTATCTCCATATACTATTTATTTACCAAAGATGTAGAGGCTTATAAACGAAAAAGCTGGATTGCTAACTTGGTCCACATAAATAATTACATCATCATTATCTGTTTCCAAGGAAAAGCAGAAAGGGAACAAGATCAAGGAGCATCAACCACCTAACGACCGAGTAGCTCCTCTAGAATATTGGGGCGAATGATCTTGAGATGCTTAAAACCATCAGTCAGCGTGACTGCCTTCAAATTTCGAAAAGACGTGAGGAACCTGTAGCATACCTCCTTAAGCTTGTCACAATCATGCTGCTCAGCCAGTGCCAATGTAGTTGCCACTGTACCTACATCCATGTAGTTGCACAGCATATTCGCCCAAATCAATTTGAGCCTCTCCAAATTGTATCTGTCTGCCGCCACAAACAGATGTTGAGCCATCTCCGTGATTTCACCTTCATCTATATTAGGCAGTGTGTCCGTGTAAACAAAGTGGAGCATCATCTTGAAAACTTTGGCTTCCATGTCATCAATCTGTATACACTTTGCACCATTCTCCATCATGGGACCGAAGAGCTGCGCCATGAACACCGGCGATCGAGCAGCGAGCAGATGCCTATGCGCCACAAAGGTCTCCCCGCGGACCTCAAAAGTCACGTCTCCAACCTCCCCGGTCTCCAAAAGACGGCCAAGTTGATGAGCCATGTCAGAAGGCGGCACTATCACAAATTCTTGTGTTGTGGGCTGCTTTGTACGGGAGTATATATTATAAATACAGCTGCGACGAATGATGCCATGTTTCGGGAAGAAAAAATTAAGGGTTATCTACCATGAAATCCAAGGGATTTTTCTGTTTGCTACCTTAGAGGGTTGGGGGCGCTGTTTGATTTTCATGGTAGATAACCCTTAATTTCATGGTAGATAACCCTTAATTTTTTCTTCCCGAAACATGGCATCATTCGTCGCAGCTGTGTCACCGCACATGATTTGGCAAACCACCACCACCCTACCTCTGCGAGTGTATGTTGTGAAATTGCTACGGGCCGATGACTGCCGCCCCAAAATTGCCACAGGGAACTGCTAGTCGTTTCCCCCCTCATTTCTCCGCGCCACCGCCGCGTCCGGACCACACAATCATGTCACCACAAAAAATGCAACCGCCGCCGCTTCACCCAATCGCAAGACCGCCAACCCCGACAAACCCTAGCGGCAACTCAATGATGCAGACCAAAACGGAATACATTGCCCTTTCCTAACCCCAACACGAAAACTAACGCCACACCCCAAGAAAATCACTCACTCCCCAAATCCCTAGCCCAAGTCTGCAAAGCAATCAGAAGGGTGGTGGGTGCATGCCTCGAAGGCTTGAGCAATGGCGCGAAGAAAATGATGAGTCCGATGTAGGCAATCGACGGCACGTGAATCGCCGGGGAGATGGAAAGCCGCCACACGGAATCGCATGAGCATGCGGAGAATGAGAGCCTGAGAGGAGCGGGGCCAGGACACGGGGTTATGGTGGCTCGGTCGCGCGGTCGCCATGCAGAGCAAATGGTTACAAGAGATGATGCAGCAACATGTCAATGCGTCAAGATTAGCGCGCTTCATCCAACGGGCCACATATCGCGCCAAATCAGCCGGTGGCGAACGTCAGTTCCACAGAATTTTCAAGAACAATCCTCGAATAAATCTCCGAGTGGATCCTCCCTCCCGATAGCCCATTCCCTCTGTAGTGCTTCCTTGTACGCGTACGAGGATCTCGTTCCTTCGCTTCGTGGCATCGTGGCCGTATAACCATTTTGGCCTTCCCATCTTCCCTCCTCCTCAGTACCTACGCATCGTGGAGGCATCGCCGCCAAAACCCTAAATCCTAAAACCCCCTCCTAAATTCAAACGCCTCAACCTCCTCCATCCAGCCGCCGCGCGCCTCCGCCCCACCCTCGCGGGAGTAAATTGCTCAAAGCCACCACATTTGTGGCTAGAGTACTCCAAAACCACCGCTTTTGCAAAAAATCACAAAAAACCACCGACTCCGCGGCAAGTGAGTAACAAATCGCACTAATTCGAAACTGAGACGCGTCTAACAGTGAAACTGACGAGTTGGCCCCACATGTCAGGCTGATTTGGCGTGCCTAGCTGGATAATATGCTGAGGTGGCAAAGGGCCCACATGTCAGCCTCACACCTCCATCTTCCTCCTCACATCTGCTCGGGGGCGCTCCTTGACGACTGGCGGCGGCGGACGCGGTCGTACCCAGCTGTCGCCGCACTGCCGGACACCAGATCCGACCGGAATCAGTATCCCGCCTCCAGATCCGCCCTCCGCCGTTGTTTCCCGTCCAAAACAGGCTCCAACCACCGCCGTTGGGCCCCGGCATCGCTGCCGCCGATTGGACTTGAACCCCACCGTCGCAGGAACCCCACCGCCGTTATCGATTCACTAGTGGCCGGCCACGACAGGAGCATCTGGCGGCGAGGAGTCGCTCCGCCCGAGCCGCTCGTCAGGGTCAAGCGGCTGGCCACAGTCGCGTCCGCCGTCGCCTGGGCTTGAACCCACCGCCGCAGGGCCCCTGCATCGCCACCGCTGCCGATTCACCAGCTTCTCACTGTTGGGCATGGCCGCGTTCACCGCTGCCGACTGACCTCGACCCCGTGCGTGCTGGGCGCACGCGCACGGTAGCTCGGCCTTGTCGGAGCGGGCCGAGGCGCGGGCTCACGCCGGCTCGGCCTCGCCGGAGCAGGCAGAGGGGGCGGGCGCGCGGCGAGGAGTCGGCAGGGGGAGGGAGCGCGCGCGACGACGAGCAGGCAGTGGGCTGGCATGTGGCAGCTCGGCCTCGCCGGAGCAGGCAGGGGGCGGGCGCACAGGGGCTAGGCCTCGTCGGAGTTGGCTGGGGTGCAGGCAGGGGGCGGGCATGTGGCAGGAAGGACATGGAGAGAGAGGAGATAAGAGTTGTGGCAGACAAGTGAGACCCATGTCCACCTCAGCAGGTCAAACATTGACTAGAACTAGTCTTTGCCACATCAGCCTAGACATGTGGGTCCCACCTGTCAGTTTTGCTATTAGCGCGGCTTAGTTTCGAATCAGTGGGATTTGTTACTCACTTGCCACAGAAGTGGTGGTTTTTCGTGATTTTTACCAAAAGCGGTAGTTTTGCAGTATCCTAGCCGCAAATGTGATGGCTTTCAGCAATTTACTCCCCTCGCGGAGATGGGCTGCGACGGGCCGGCGATCGGCGTCGACCTCGGCACGACCTACTCGTGCGTGGCCGTGTGGCGGCCGTCCCACAACCGCGTCGAGGTTGTCCCCAACGACCAGGGGAACCTCACCACGCCGTCGTGCGTCGCCTTCACCGACGCCTGGCGGCTCGTCGGCGACGCGGCTCTCAACCAAGCCGCAAGGAACCCCGTCAACACCGTATTCGGTAAACAAAAAAACAAAAAACTGTAGATCTGATGTCGATCTGCTGGTCTACTTGATTTTGCTGCGGTAGTTTGTCAGCTCGATCATGGGTGTGAGTTTGCGTACGGTTCCCCGCAGCCGTGTTTCGCTCGATAATTCAAATTCTCAGCTGAAGGGTGAACATTACATGAACCAGATTTCGTATTTGTGATCATTATTAAGAACTTCTATTAGGCCTCTAGCTAGTAAATAAATACATGTAAGATACGTAGATATGATATGTTAATTGCAATCTTTCATTACAAACTGAATATATACAGGAATGATATGATGATGCCTTTTCAATCACACTACACAAAATGACTTGTTGGCAAAATAATAATAATGCAGATGTATCCAGGGACACTCATAGGGTTTGTACAAGCAAACACTGAGATCGATTGGCCTATCAGATTCAGTGGTACTACGTCACTCCATTTTGTTCAAAAAATAAGTCATGTTGAAAACTTTATGGAAACTTACAGCTGCAAGTTTAATTACACATGAGATTTATGTAAACGCATTGCAAGCTGTAGTTTTAAGATACTATAATATTACATAACTACCGCCTTATGCAAATTAAGATATATAATTTGTTTACACGGAATTCCTCTTGTTTTGCAAATCTGCACATCTGAAACAAACCACTATGATTTCCTTTCAGATGCGAAGCGACTGATTGGCCGGCGATTCAACGACCCGTCTGTGCAAGGAGATATCAAGCTATGGCCTTTCAAAGTCATTCCAGGCCCTGCTGACCGACCGATGATGGTGGTTCAGTACGGGGGTGAGGAGAGGCATTTCACGGCAGAAGAGATCTCCTCCATGATACTCGTTAAGATGAAGGAGACTGCCGAGGCCTACCTCGGCACGTCGGTAAAGAACGTCGTCATCACTGTCCCGGTTTACTTCAACGACTCCCAGCGCCAGGCCACCATTGACGCCGGTGCGATTGCTGGCCTCAACGTCATGCGCATCATCAACGAGCCCTCCGCAGCAGCCATAGCCTACGGCCTTGACAAGATGTCCGGCAGCGGTGAAGCGAAGACGGTACTCATCTTTGATCTTGGTGGTGGTACCATGGATGTCTCCATTGTCAGTGTACAAAATGATGTCTTCACGGTCAAGGCCACGTCTGGTGACACCCACCTGGGCGGGCAGGATCTCAACAACCGGATGGTGGAACACTTTGTGCAAGATTTCCTCAAGAAACACAAGAGTGACATCAGAGGCAGCCCGAGGGCGCTCATGCGGCTGAGGACGGCCTGCGAGAGGGCCAAGAGAATGCTGTCCTCCACGGTGGAGGCCAAATTCGAGATCGACTCGCTGCACGACAGCATTGACTACTATGGGAGGATCACTCGTGCCCGTTTCGAGGAGCTCAACATGGACCTCTTCCACAAGTGCATCGAGCACGTCGAGAAATGCCTCGGCGATGCCAAGATGGACAAGTCTGGGATCCATGACGTCGTGCTCGTGGGCGGCTCCACCCGGATCCCCAAGGTGCAGCAGCTGCTCCAGGATTTCTTTGATGGGAAGACGCTCTGCAAGAGCATCAACCCCGATGAGGCCGTCGCCTACGGTGCTGCCGTCCAGGCTGCCGTCCTCAGCGGCGAGTGCGACCGCAAGGGGCAGGACTTCCTCCTGCTGGACGTCACTCCACTCTCGCTCGGGGTCGAGATATATGACTCGCGAGTGCAACCCCATATACCTGGTTTCATGAGCGTGCTGGTTCCCCGGAACACCACCATCCCTGTTAAGAGGGAGGGGCGGTACACGACTGAATTCGACAACCAGAAGAGCGTGCGCATCAAGGTGTATGAGGGTGAAGGGGCATGGACCAAGGACAACAGGCTTCTGGGAGAGTTCATGCTCGAGGGCCTCGTCCCAGCGCCAAGGGGCGTGCCGAAGATCATTGAAACCATGGAAGTCGAAGCGAACGGCATCCTGAAGGTGACGGCGGTGGACGTGACGACCGGGAGCAAGAAGAGCATCAACATCACGACCAACAAGGGTGGGCTGAGCAAGGAGGAGATTGAACGCATGGTGAAGGACGCCGAGAAGTACAGGTCGGAGGACAGGAAGAGGATAATGAAAATGAAGAGGGAAGACGAGGAGGGCTGGCTGAGCAAGGCGGATTTTGAGAGGACAGTGCAGAATAGCAAGAAGCAAGTGAAGAAAATAAAGATGGAAGACGATGAGGGTTGGCTGAGCAAGGAGGAGTTTGAGCGGACGGTACAGCATGCAAAGGAGCAGAGGAAGCAAATAAA